CCTGTCAGTATCCCAGCCCACTTACAACCATGACGATTACAACTAACAATACTCTCAAGCCATATCGGCGATCTCGTGTTGTCACCAATCAGGTTACCTAACTGCATACAGCGGAGATGGTAAGCGAAAATATGCTACTGCTGATGCCTCCCTTCTCACAGTTTCACGCTTCCTCTCTGCTATCCTACCCCATCCATATTTGAATACTCTCCTGGCAGATTTCAGCCCTAAGACTGACCGTTTCGCTCGCCGTGCATTACACTCAGTTGCAGCTTCCGTACGTCCGACTTCAGCAACAACCCTAAATAGTTCGAAATCTGTTTTCAACTCCCAAAACCCTGTTAACTTTTGCCCCTTTAATGTTTGCACACTGGAGCAAATGGGACAACAGGTGGCCCTTGCCCTTACATTCGATTTCCTCTGCATTGATCTGTGCTGGTTTCGAGAAACAAGTATACAGGACGCGAGTACTGGGAATGAACTGACTGCCCCATCGCTCTCTTCCAGGCTCCAGCTGCGTACCCGTAGTGATGCAGGAGCCGTTGCAGCCAGATATGCTGGGGGGGATGTATTGTATTCAGCTGTTATGCACCTGAACGAGCGGGACAGTTGATTGGATACCCGTTGGTCGTCGCTGTTCGTATAGCTACGTCTGTTAAAGAGTCTAGGAAGAGTGAGGTCCATCACACTGTCTATTGTGTCTGCTTACGCCCCATCGGGTGGTAGGTCTGAGTTCGCCAAAGATCATTTCTATGATGATTCAGGTGTTTTACAAGGGACTTAGAGTTCGGATATCGTGTTTGCGGGCGACATGAATGCTTAGGCAGATAGACTAAGCGCTAACGAGGCCTAATTGGGTGGTCATCTTTGGTTGGACACCAGACGCAATGACAACGGAGATTGCCTGCTCCACATGTGTATCGATCACAGATGGTTTCATTGTAGTACCAATTTCCGGAACAGCGGAAATCCCTTGACAAAGTGGTTCCCGCCAGGTGAACCCCCCAGAATCCAAGTAGACTACATTGCCGTCATTTATCTGTGGCGAGGGTCGATCACCGCCTACCGCTCCTTCTGGAACACCAACCTAGATCCCGACCACGCACTGTTTGCTGCTGCTTCGCATTTCGCTTTTCAGGTCTACGCAAAACGTCCACACCTCGCTTAGCCTCTGAGAAGCTAGTGGACCCAGAAATCGAATGAGCCTATCAGAACCAGCTCCTCGAACCCCTGCCGGATGACCCGATGTTGGATATAAACGGCCACTGGAGAGATATCCAAAGCGATACTCAAAGACGCAACTTCTGTTTGTGACACAACCCAGCCAACCTCACAGAAACATTGTACCTTTGTATTTGCTGAAGGCCTAGCGGCAGATTCCCCTGGCTGCAACCACAACTACCCGTTGCATCATCCGCCACCAGGTGAAACTGGGTGTCCGTGCAGACCGAGAAACTTGGTGGATCCGAAAGGCCGAAGAAATGGAAGATGCTAACAGTATTGGAAACATCCACAATCTGTTCTACCTGTTGTCCCATTTGCTCCAGTATGCAAACATTAAAGGGGCATAAGTTAACAGGGCTTTGGGAGTTGAAAACAGACTTCGAACTATTTAGGGTTGTT